TATTGGGGGACTAGTGTTATTTAACTAAATCATGTGATACTGTGACATACTAAGAAATATGTTTGGTCTTCATCTCTGGTTTCTGGCAAAAGAGTGCCTGAAACCCTTGTAATTACCTGAGTGATAGTGTGAAAGGCAATCTCTTATTATTCACAACAAGCCCCTTTCAACCACACCTGAGTGCATGCTAAGGCAGTGCACTGAGTGGGCTCCCAGATAACTTCAGGATGGGGGCTGGTTGCCAGAGGAACCAACCAGGTGATTAGAGGGTTAGAACTTTCCACCCCAGCCCCCTAATTATTGAGGTGGGGAGCAGGGCTAGGGATTGAGTTAATCAACAATAGCCAATGATTTGATCAATCATGCCCCTATAGAAACAGGAAATGCAGGAGTTCAGAGTGCTTCAGGGTTGGTGAATGCATCCACGTGGCAGGAAGGTGGCACATCCCAAACTCCAGAGGGACAGAAGCCCCTGCACGTGGGACCCTGTAGGCCTCGCCTTGGTCCCTCCCTTTTTATCTTGGAGGTCATTTGTAACCTTTATAATAGCAAGTAAAGTGTTTCCTTGGATTCTGTGAGCCATTATAGCAAATTATCAAACCTGAAGTGGGAATCAGGGGAGCCACAATTTGTAGCCAACTCAGAAAAAAAAGTGTAGGCAACCTAGAAACCCACTATTTGCCACAAATGTCTAAAGTAGGGGGCAGACTGTGGGACTAAGCTCTTAATCTGTGAGGTCTGCACTAACTCCAGACAGTAAGTGTCACAGATGAATTAAAATTGTAGGACACCCATCTGGCATTATAGAGAACTGGATTATTGCTTGGCATGGCAAATCCACACATTTGGTATCATGAATGTTGTAAGCAGAGACAGTATTCCCTTGCATGGTAATTGAAATCTGTGCATATCAGAGACTGCTATATAACACTAGAGGCCTGGTGCATGAAATGTGTGCACGGGTAGGTTCCCTAGGCCTGGCAAGCTATCAGGGCCAATTGGGGCCTTCCGGCTGCCGGCCAGGGCCTCCCTTCCCTGGCTGCTGACCGCCAGCTGGGGCCTTCCTTCGTTCCACGCCACCCCCTGGTGGTCAGTGCATGTCATAGTGAGCGATCGAACGCCCAG